AGAACCCTAAGATTTCTTGTGTTTACGAATTAACACCGGTAGAATAGGAAGAACTTCGTTATTTAGTTCCCATATTATAATCTTGGGTGGAAGCGCCACTTCATCAGGAAGAAGAGGAGCAAGAAGCGCTACATCGGTAGTCTGGGGTTCAACGCGGGAACCATATCTGTGCTTCATTTTCTCTTTCTCTTTTTTTCTTCCATTGTTCTACTTTTCTTTTCCTTTTTTTCCATGGTTTCGGTATTTATACTCTCTTATATACCTGTATATCTCCAAAAATACCGTGGCGCTCAACACATCTGTAAATAAACTTGCACCCCGTCATCGAACATCGCTCCTTTCAACACTGAGCTACCGCCAACATACGTGCGGCCACAGTAAGGAAGCTTTAACAAATGAACTAGAAAATATAACACATAATGTTATCTTACTGTTTTCTTGCTCGGCCAGTTTTTTTCTTTCTGTTACCTGTTACATGAAAGCCGATCGATAAGTTATTTAAGTTAGTTCTCAATTTAATCTTTTAGAAGCAGTCTGACAAACAGGACAAATTTTCTTAGACAAACGCCTGTGTAAACTAAATTTGATCAATTTTGATCTAACACGGTTCAGATTGCGCCCAGTTGTTTTCTACACCAGCGGCTCTGTGAGATTATTCGGCCCTGTTATAGTATAACCTATATATTCCATAGCCGGTCAAAGAGAATTTATCTTCTCCCGAAAATGGATTTTGGTCACGCAAGCTATGTTAATATAACAATTTTCCATAAATATAACAAGGTCAATTGTTCGACGTGTTAAAGAAATAAAAATTTATGTTGTTTGACACATTATTAATTTTCTAATTTATAACTTGAAATGAATTAATATTATATGGCGTAGGGCAACGGTCCAACATTCAAAGCGTATTGAAATTGCTCTGAAATCTACATGACAAAACATGATCTACGTCAATAGCTATAATGATAGGTTACACGGATGGGTTTAACCCGAAACATCAAAGTAATCGGCCAACTATTGACTACACTAGACGAAACAAACCTCCACCATGCACATAATTTAGCTCTCTATATTAGGACATCTCTGAGTTTCATCTGTATGGACATGAACAAAGACAATGAACCGAAATGATTCTCAATCACTTTCCCAATGCTTCACAAACATCGCCCGTTTGTTTTTCTCCCAACTGGACAAGTACTGGACATCAAAGAAGCTCTTCCTTTCACTTTCTTATTGTTTACAACTCTTGTTACGATAAATAATATTATTCTAGAAAATGTTTTTCCTGAAGGTAGTGAACAGTTCTTTTCATCACTTTTTTATTAAATTCGGGCGGTACCATACTCAACGCCGAATTTTTTAATGTAAAGACACAACGAAGTTCAATACATAACTACTTCATTTAAAGCACTTATTAGTATCTATAACGATCAAATTACAGGTTTATCAATATTGTTTTTTTTATATTATATTGCTTTGAAATAGGTGTTAATTAAAACCTACAAACAATGCTTGAATTGAGTGCTAACCGTGGTTTAATTTGTTCTTATCTGTAATGATGTGTCAGTACTGTGGTAGTTTGTTGACTCGTGTAGGAATAACCTGATGTTGTCTGATGGACGCTGAACGTAATTTATCAATGAGGCAGCTTAACACCTGTTAACAGCTTGAAGAGGATAAAACGGATAAAGATTATCACAAATGATGAAAGAGGGGCAGAACTATCGTCGCTTTTGTAATTTACCGTTTAAACTTTGTTTCAAGTGTGAAAAGTTTCACTTCACGATAAAAAAACAGTAGGTAAGAGTGAAAGTACAATAATTATGATTGATAAATAATACATAGATTGATATGTAATTATAATAATATGAATGGCTCCCTATAGGGAGCGTGTAGGCATGCTATCCAATCTGAAAATGGTACTCGAGCACTGCAGCGGGTTTCTAGGTCCCCTGTTTCGTTTTTTAGGGGAATTTTTTTTTATTGTATATAATATGTCTTATGTGTTGTGTGTCTGTATGTTTTGTCTGAGTGCATGTATTTATTAGCGTGAATGGCAAAGCGTGAGGGTGAATTACAACGTAATCATCGCCCCTCGAACGTTGAGAGCGTATAAGTGTATTTCGCTTGCAATTCCCGCGGTTGTCCAATTTACAATATTGGTGACCTCGAGAATCATCCACCTCGTGTTTTGGCAGTCTGGGGTCTCAACTGTCCAGCCATCGAGGTTGGCCTCCAGGGGCTACCACCATCTAGCTCATTTCACCCCCAACCCAATCAGTTACTAAAACTAAACCACTCACATTTAAATATATTCTTTTTATTTACACGTCATTCAATCAGTTAGGGTAGTGGAGTACTTGATATTCTCCGCACCCATAACTAATCTAATTGGTTGATGGGATAAATAATAATCCGCCATTGGCCCTCCTACTTTATACATTTACGCTAATAAATACATTCTGTTTCAAAATTCTCAAAATAGAAAAAAACGAGATATCTATCAATACCATGTGCAATAAAATAACCCTTTTTCCTCCAAAAATTCGGGACAGTGTAAGAAAATATTACAATTCTCATAAGTCTTTATATATGGAGCAAAGGTATGGCATCTTCCAATTAAGTGGGACACATTTTTTTTTGTTTTTGTTAGAAACATGACAAAAAGTAATTTTGTCAACACAAAATTGTCTTTTCTTATTCGGGTGAGGATCTTTCTGCTAAAATTAAGATACTTCAAGAGACATATTCGTCAGTGCTCTTGATACAGATGAAAATTGTACTAAAACAAATATTGTAAATTATTATAATTGATTAAGTAATATTGGTTTTTATGATGTTTGAATCTAACATATCATAGTTATGATTTGATAAGCGTTCATTCCATTCTTAACATGTTTAAGGCGGTAGCGACAGTTTTCGGAACAACAGTTTGTTTTTTGATTTTTGTTTTGTTCAACTCTACTTTTAGTCGATGGATTTGATTTTTAATACGCGCTTTTTTTTGCAAGACGTTTGTGCTTTCTGCCGGAGCATCAAACTTTAAAATCTCCTGTCGTTACAGCAATTTTTCAAGGACATTTAATCGTTCAAAGATAGACCAAAAATTACCATATTTCGGTACTATTTTCGATAAGATCTAGTAGATTTTTAAAACCGATCTTTATATGTGAAACAACTTTAAAATCACACTGCACATATGGATACCCGAACAGAATTGTACCCTTACGAAATGGTCTGTACCGTTTTGCCTTAAGAACTGTCCAAATATTATCAGAGACGTAAGTGTGGTGTCTTTTTTTTGGTTGAAGCTAATATGGTTACCTCGCTGATACGTTCTTTATTCGCGTCGTGCACTCGGGGGTTGGCGGCCAGTGTGCTCTGGCAACGTTCCATTCCGTGTAACTCACGATTCACATGTGGTAGGGTTTCAAATCGTCGAGGCACTCCGTCTACCTTGTTTAAACTCTGGGGCGTGTTTCTGTACGGGTGGTTCTGCAAGAAACAACAAAGTTTCACGATCTGAGGAGAAACCGTCGTCGATGCTATTATTTGCGGCAATTCAGACTTAAGAAAACATAAATTTGGCGACATATGCCTGGTGGAAGTGTAAGTCGGTGATCGTACGCTGTTTATGCTTGGAGCCGTATATATATCGTAAAGCGTTGGCCGAAGATGTTAACTTAAGTCCCAATTATATTCAGCGAACTTGACAAAAAGTCTTACCAAGCCCTTGATCAGACTAGGAGACTCCGATCAATCTCAGTGGCGACTTGAATAACGATCCGCGACACAACAGCTCGTTGACTTCATGAAGAATGAATTCGGCCTCAACTACATGCCCACTGGTCCGACAAGTACGTCACCACTGGGCAATACCGATTACAATCGATTTTATTTTCACCAGAATTTATATTTTACGTGTTCATATCACAGGCCAATGTCAAACAAAACTCGTCGTCGAATAATAGTCAAAATAAATGTCATATATCATTCAGTGTCTGTTTTATGTTAAAATAAAATTTGATGTCTCCATTCAATGTCTCGTTTTTATTTCAATAAAATACGATAAAAGCGACAGTGCGGAAATAAACTTTAAACGGTGGCGCGCCTCGACACGGTTACGTAATTGTAGTTTGTTAAAAGTTTCTTTGTATACTAACATGATTTCTTAGCTTATTTCTTTTTTAAAATATTAAATCTTTTTCTATTGCGTGGCAACTTTTACACCTTTAAACAGTAGCTCGCTACAATCGCTTGCCTTTTATTGTTACGCAAAATGAAAAAAAAAATGTTTCAATAGGATGAAGGGTTTTGAAGAAAAATACCAAAGAGAAAAAATAATAGAATCTTTTCAAGTGAAACCATCGAATCTTTCCGGATGCCCCCCAATTTAATTCATAAAATCACCGACTTTTTAAACTACAGTATGGAATTTATAGAAGATAGTTTAGTTTAGGAAAGTACTTTTGACACTAAATACATAAAAGCCGCGATTCTTCTAAATCACCAGGCAATAACATTCAAAAATGAGTGACCGTTAATCGACAATTATTCAGAAATCGCGAGATGCGGTCTGGTGTGATGTAGGTTTGGCACTTTCAACACGACACGCAAGAATGGCACAGTTACACAGAAGACAAACACTTTGAGCCCTGAAGATGATCTCAATAAAGCTCGAAACAATGACATAGTGAAGAAAATATTTTTCTGAAACCTGCATCACACCAGACCGCATCTCACGATTTCTGAATAATAAACATTAAAAAAATTATTTGGACCCTTCTAAAACCAGAATCTAAAGGGACCAGTTTCAACCTGTAATGTAATCCTGCAATAATGTATTTCTAAACATGAAAACTGCCGCTACCCCTTAAATTAAAAAAATACATTAATAAAAAAAATGTGTTACATATTTAGATTTTAATTTGCTTCAGTTTTACTAACTAGTGATTGTAGTGAGTGTTTGAGATCCATATTTTATCTGCTGAATGTTTTAGGTGCCATGGTACTGGTAAGAAGATGAAGTGAACAACTTTACGATGGGAACAATTGGATGGCTGATCATGTCCGCACTTTTGGCAACGGTACTGTCTGCTTCGACGCTATTCTGCCAGGCATCATCAGCACCACCTCCAACAGGTAAGCAACATACTTTTGATCTGCGACCTATGGTAAATTATGTGGCTTTACTACATTATAATCCGTGATGTGAGTCAAGACGTTTTACATTATTTAGTAAAAATAAGTTTAATGGAAATATTAATTTAAATCACTTTTTATTCTTGATTAATTACATGTCTATTTAGTTTATTTAATACCAAAAAAACAAAAAACAAAACACAGTTACCCCTATTAGTTAAAAGGGCCACAATTATAGATATAAATGTACCCCAGCATTGTATTAATGAAATACCAAATCGTCAAATTTATTTTATGATGATTATGATTTATTATCCCTAAAATCAAGCAATTGGCAAATATTGGTAAAATTTTTTTTTTCAAAAATCTATCATTTTTAAGTCAAAATTTCCTTTCGGAATTCCATGTTCTGACGCAGTTATGTAAAACAAAAGAAGGGCATTTATAGTTTTTGTTTTTAAATTAAAATAAATTAAATTAAAATTAAGTCTCTTTATTTAAAACCTAGACTTTGCTTGACAAACTTTTCTTGTGTAAGGATTTGATCTCCCATACGGTTTCAAATAAAATTTATACATCGATCCAACCAAGTATTTGGTTCTACCGTTTTTGAAATGATGCAGTTTTCGTGAAATTTGCATATTTCGACCTAGTGTGATGAATTTTCGAAATTCTTCAAAGATCATCAGTTTAAATTTTACCGGCTTGTATTAGCAAAACGGCTATCAGTTAGATTGAAAGGGTTCAGTAGAGTACTCATCCTTTAGTAAATTTAACGTGAGTTATGAATCCGTCCCAATTTACACGGAGTATGCATATGTCACGTATATTTTCTTTGTAAAAGGTCCATTTTTTTAAAAAAAAGCGTATCTTTTTGATTGTTAGACTATTAGTTTTGGCGGCATTCTTCTCCATTTACAATCTACTATTATGGATTTTTTTTCGTTTCATAACAAACTGCCCTTTATACTTTTAATTTGTCCAATTTGTCAATGTGCGACAGTCGGCCGTATTACTCTCTGTGCGGGGTCATAAGAGACAACATGCATAAATTATTTTTCAGATTTTGTGAATTGAAAGCCTTTTTTGTTATTTAAAAGAATTTATCAGCATTTTTGACCATAGTTATAAAAACTGGATTTTTATAAAGTATGTTTTCTATTTTGGTGGTGCAAACCACGTTTTCTTCTATTTTTTATTTCATCTTTTAACAAATACATTGCTCTATGTTGGTATAATCCTGAACATATGTCTATACCTACATTGGAATACTATGTGCACGTGATAACTTGCGACCTTCGTATTTTAACTTGGTTTTTCTTATAAATAAATAATATAATTATCATTATAACGTTTTTAATTTAACGACGAAACACTTGGCAACAAAACTTTGGCTTAGGTTGAACTTTCTTTAATATTATATGAAAATTGTATTACATAATTATACTTTATAACTATGTTGTATGTATATTTATTCAACAAACTCGTTCAACAACTTTAATGTTTCTTGTTTATCTATTAATGAAATTCAGAATTTTTGTGTGCTTCATAAAACAAATGGATTCCCTTTCTTTCATTGTTCTTTAGTTATTTTAGACAATTTTTCTACGATTTTTCAAAATGTAGGTTTAAAAAAAGAGTTTAGTTTAAATACATCTAATTTTATTGTATTCTTTTAATTATTAAAAAGTATGGTTCCAATGCGTTGATACATTTGTCATCGAGTGGTGTGGTATTCAATAGTAATAATAACAATAAACAATGCTTTATTTACAATATAAAAAATCAATAAAATAAAATTACAGTTCATAAAATGTGGGACGTTAATTAGACAATGGATCTATGATCCGTCTGCTATTTTGTAAACATAATATTATAAGCATACCAATCAAAAATAAAAATTTAATAAATATAAATGCTAAATCATTAAAACAAATAAACGACTTTTGAAAAATGGCAAAAAGGAGAGAAAATTCAAAAGGTGGGGTTGAGCTGGGAAGTTGGTGTCCGAGTGGATCGAAGTCACGAGAGCTCAAGTGGTTGAGCAGCGGCGTATCTAGCCAAAGGTCGTGGGTTCGAATCCCGCTCATGACATTGACTTTTTTATCTCAACTAAAAACCTTAATTAATTGGTTATTAATTGGTCTAGCGGACCACGAAAACTAGTGAATCAAACCAATAAAACATAAAATATAAACATTTTATTTATTATTTACATGTTTAAAATTAAATTCTGGTATCAATTCATATTTATAATTCCCTGCTTATGTAAGGCGGTTTCGGCAAGTTACGGGATTATGGATAGGGGAAGTTCAAGGGGTAGTATGGTGTTGAGAGAAAGGGGAGAGAAACACAGGTTGAAGAATTCTTCGTGTAATAAGTCCAAAAAAACCCTGTAACGTGTTCTTGATTAACTAATGTCACCAGCTACATATCCTTAATAATCATTATTTTTGCAGATGTATTTATTCCAAGCACCATTATGAAAAAATTACTAATTTATTCTCAATAAAACACAAGCCTCACAATTAGACTATTCTCAATATAACACAGTTTACTCAACATAAAGTATTCCAAATACAGTCAATTTTATTTAATACAATATTCAAAATTCAACCGATTTTATACAAGTACACTATTCACCTATTTGTTTCTGATTATTGATGTTGTTTGTTCAAGCCCGAACCACCCTTGTTTTGCATAACAAATCAATCGTCGAGATTCTGAAGCATCTAAAAATCGCAGTACGACACTTTTTAACAAGGTGAAGCAACCGAGGGGAAAGAAAAGAATTACTTTTATAATTCAACACTGCCCAAAAACGAGAGTTGCAGAGAGAACAAAATCTTCCATCACCTCTAATCCATATGACCTAGTTTAGATGTAAAACCTCACAACGTAGCTTAAATAGCCACCGCAGCTCAGGAGATCCTATATTGCTGGAGAAATTTTTAACTCTTCGTATAAAGAAAGGCGAGAAGACGCTAGGACACGATGTACATTCCAGGCAGAGATGTTTTCTATAGAAAGAAAAATCAATATTATAGTTCAAGAATACCAACCTCCAATGTCCACGAATTCCTGGAACGAAGATGTCATTTTTCAAAATTTCGAATCCGTGAAATATAAGTAAAATGCTTCTTAACCATGCAAACAAACATTAAATCAATGACGGTTTCCAACAACCGAAAATGTGGAGTACCACATGGCAACACAAATACCTGTTTATAAAGAAACGTTAGACTCTTTCTCCCGTCCGAATCTCTGGAAACACCAGATTTGACATCGGTAGCAACGTATGGCACGAGACACCGAATTAAAAATAGTCGAAATTTTACATTTATCGGGATCGTGTTTTGCGTTATAACATTATTTATTTTTTATTTATACGACCAAGTCTGGTTTAACGCCAGTTTCGCAGAAGTAAATTCCGTCCAAGAAAGTTGGAAGTAAATATAACAGATTTGTATTAATTCACCACCTCTATATTCTTACAGTAAATAAAACATTCCGAAGAACTTCCGATTAATTAAGGTTTTAAGTTGAGATAAAAAAAGGCGCCGCTGCTCTAACACTTGAGCTATCGTGACCTCGATCCACTCGGACACTAACTTCCCAGCTCAACCCCACCTTTTGAATTTTCCCTCCTTTTTGCCATGTTGCAAATGTCGTGTAATCTATTTGATTCTCGTCGACAATTGAAATGGCCACGTAGAACTTTAGTGAGGATATACTTCATGCTAACTTATTAAATTCATTAGTTTTGTGGTCCGCTTGACCAATTAATATCTTTCAATTAAGGTTTTTAGTTGAGAAAAAAGTCAGTGTCACGAGCTGGATTAGAACCCACGATCTTCGGCTAGATACGCCGTCGCTCTACCACTTGACCTTTCGTGACCTCGATCCACTCGGACACTAACATCCCATCTCAACTCCACCTCTTGAATTTTTCTTCGTTTTTGCCATTTTTCAAATTACGTGTAGTCTATTTGATTCTCGGCTACAAATGAATTAGTGAAGATATAGTTCTTTTTAACTTATTAAATTTACCAGTTTTCGTGGTCAGCTTGACCAATTAATATCTTTAGTTAGGTCATGTATTAGAGTTCCCCAGCTATCACGGAGTGACTGTTGTATTCATTTTAACATGTATCTTACTTGTATATCTTAATGTTCTTACTTCCAATATAACGATTTTTTTACTGACTTTATTTTCATCTACGGCTTTGTATGTTTATATACAACTAGAAGATAGGATTTCAATTTGTGAATTTCTGAGTGTGATATTTCTTGCATTATAGAGAAAGTTACCCATTGGCTTACGCACAGGATTAATGATTCAAGTAGTCACTGATCCATATTCTTTTCAGTCGTCCACTAATTGTTGGGAATGGGGTATTCGTATTTGCAATTAATATGATTTTGAAATTTACTGTGAAAACGTCTTTAATGTGTTTCAAAGGATTACGAAATAGTTTACATGTGAAGATCTTGTGAAGTGTTTTAACGTTTACATAAGAAGGGTCCGAAACAACCTTTGATTGAAAACTTGTAAACTTTGAATATTGGAATATTTGGCAGACCCATAAACTTGGCACGCGTACTTCCAAATAGGCTTGCATAAGTATGTGTATATCCGAAGTATTGATTTTAATGGTAGTTTTGAACGTCGTTCCTGTAAGTAGTAAAGTATTTTAAATCGTTTCCTAAGTCTCTATTTTTGTAATCGTGTGTGCAGATTCCAAGTTAGTCTTTTACCAAATTTAAGTCTTAAATACGTAACTCTGTCACATTGTAGAAGAAGGTAATTGCATATGTGTATTCTTGGACAAGTCTCGCGGTGGAGTAGAAAGGTGGGTATTGTTCCTTTGTGGGGTGAAACTTTATTTTCCAAAGATTGCACGTTTTTCAATTGTTTACATTTGATATTGTAACATAAGGAAAGCTTCTGTTGAAAAGGGGTCGCTTGATGATATTGGCATTGTGATCTGGCAGTTAAT